GGCCCCAGAGGGCGGTTTGTTTGTTGATACCGATGCCGGTGTTCCTGGGGGAGACTGGCTGTGCCCATGTGGTAGGATCTGGGGTAAATGTGGTCAGGCTGCCTTGCTTGGAGGTGACTGAGGACAAGGGCCCAGGCGCCCAGTTCTCAGATCACCGAGGCAGGCTGGGGGCCAGGGGGAGGTGGAGACTCAGGCCAGAGTCCTATTCTGGGGGTGACTGACTACAGGTCCCTAATTCTGGTGTTATTGAGATGCTGAGACCAGAAGCTTCCAGTGGGGGTGATGGAGACTAGGGGCTCATGTCCCTGTCTGTCTCCCCAGAATGACCTTGGGATTGAGAGGTTTCATTTGGGGAACAGAGTTTAGGGTCCTTGGGTATATTTGGGGTGATAGAGACTGGGGTCTGGTTGTCTATTTTTGGGAGACAGACCTGCTGTCCCTGCGTATATTATAGGTAACAGAAATGGAGCCTCAGGGGTCTTGGCGCGCGCCTGTAGTCCCAGCTGCTTGGGGGGCTGAAGCAGGAGGATCGCTTGAGCCCAGGAGTTCGAGGCTGCAGTGAGCTATAAACACACCACCACACTCCAGCCTGGACAACAGAGCGAGACCCCTGTCTCTCAAAACAAAAGAAGTGGGGGGCCTAGTTGTGTGGGTTGTTGGACAGACACTGATGTCCTAGGACATTTTTGGGGTGACAGACTGATTAAGACCAGAGGTTTGGTAGTCTAGTCTGGGCTGGGGACTAGGTGCTCAGCTTGCTAATTTGTGGTGACAGTTTGGGTCTGGTTGTCTATCTTGATGTGCCAGACATTATTCATCATTGTCATGTTTGGGGTAACAGGAACTATTGGTCTAGTTTTCTAGTTTGGGGTGACAATGGCTGGGGTCCTTGTGTCCAGTTGAGGTTGACAGTGATTGGGGTTTATTTGTCCATTTGCAGAAGGCAGAGCCTGGGATCAGTTGTCTAGTTTGGCATGATGAGGCCAGATGTCAAGGGCCCTGCTTTGGGGTAACATATATGGGGGAGAAAGCACTGATGCCTGAGTATTCCAGGGGCAAATGAGTCGGGGGTTTCCTGCACCCAGGTGTGGGGTCCCTCAGTAAGTGTGGCCAGGGTTGTGGAGCCTCATTTGGGGGTCACTGAAGCTGGGAGTTTGGGCATTTGGAACTGGGCTGGCAGGCGGCCAGGACCCAGGGCCCAGGAGCCACTGGAGGGTGCCTGATGGGGTGAGGATGTCCTGAAAGGCCAATGCTTCCCAGGCTGGTGCCACCTCAACCTGACAGGGACGGGGATGGAGACCAGGGTAGAGACGCCGAATTTGGGGAAGCTTGAGGCTGGGGCCCTAACGCCTAGCTGAGGGGTCTCTGAGGCTGGGGCACAAGTACCCATGGGGTTTCTGGCCCTGGAGGCTCAGCTGCCTATTTTGGCTGCAAGAGGATCTTGTGGCTCCAAAGCCTAGTTCAGGGGCAAATGGTTATGGCGGTTGAGATGCATGTTTCATGGGTGACTTAAAACTGGGGACCCAGATCCTCACTTTGAGGAGATGGACGCTGGGGTTTAAGATACTGAATTTGGGGTGACTGGACTCCCTCCTGCCAATTCTGAGTGTTTGTGAGCCCACATTCCTGGCCTGGGATGCGTGACACTGGGCTCTGGACTTCTGCAATAACGCAGACTCACGGCGGGACCGGGCCAGCGGGCTACTGGCTGGTGCTCACATTAGTGACAACTGTCGGGGGGCCCAGCTGTCTAGACTAGAAATGACTTCCTGTGGCATTTCACCTGCCACGTTTGGGGCGAGTGAGTCTGGAGACTCAGATGTCAAGTTTAGGGTGACTGGTTTTGGGGTTTAGTAGTGACCAAATTTGGCAGCTCACATGTTGATCTTGGGGTCCTATCGATTACTTTAGGGATAACTGAAGTTTGGGGTCCACTTGCCTAGTTTGGAGTCACTGAGCCCGGGAGTCCCAGACCCTAGTTTTGGGGG